AATAGTACAAAAACTAATACATCAGTTTAACCTCAATTCATCAGAAAATTTTGGTAATTAATATTAGTGTTCAGCTTTGTTTAAACACTTTCCTAATATGTATTTGCCAATTCTCTATATTCAAAAATAAAATTTAATTTTCAGAGGAAAATTTATCTTGATGTTGGATTATCTCAACATCATTTTGAACAATTTTCATTGCACATAACTATAGATACAGAAATGCAAGATATTTTGTAAATTGTTTATATGTCAAATTGTTTTATCTTTATGTAATTTTGTCTCATAAAATTTTCATGTTGTTAATTTTTCAGTTAATGGAATCTTCCTACTAGTTGAGGTTGTCTTATAGCTACTTTAATGACTATGATTAAAAGTAGTTACTATTTTTTGACTTCTTCTTTCCCTCACTCCTTCCTTCTTCCTCACTACCTTTTTTGTGGTGAATATGTGATGGATGTGCTGGTCTTAATTACTTGAGAAACAAGATGGGCAGTTAAAATTCTGAAAGTCAGTGTCTGAAAGTAGCTGGAAGATAGTGAGGTGTCATTCAAAGTTCTTTTGGCATTTCCGACCATGAAGATCTGTTGGTATTTCTTCCTGCATTATTGTGATTATGAGTAAGGTCTCAGGGGAAAGATGATAGTGCTGGCAAACACCCATTTACACACCACAAAAGAACTGAATTGAGAACTACTCCAAGTCATAAGGAACCACAGGAGTCCAAGACTTCCCAAAGATTTAGACTTCTTGTTCCCTTTTGGTGTGAGATTTGTTTTTCCTCTGATGGTGCACAATACTCGTTTTTATTCTTTTTGCCCCCTGAGACACTTGCTTCCCCCCTTAACACACACATGCACATGCACACACACATACTGGTAGTCACATTTTGTGTTCAGGTTCAGGGTTGAGTGTTATCCTGGGTTGAGGTCTCTTAAGATTTGATTTCTCAGGCTTCTTCATGAAGTACTATTTCAGATCACAAGAAAACACTTCAGTATTTCATGTCATGGGAAATCTTGGAAATAAAAATCAATACAATTTTAAGGGATATGATGGAAAGGAAGAATCATAGACTTTAGTGTTGTCCAGAGGTGGGTGTGACTCCCAGTTTCAGTGGTTGCTAATTGTGTGACTTTGTACATTTTGCTATGCTTCAGTTTCTTCATTTGTAAAATAAGTATATTGCTAGGCATGGTGGTTCAAGTCTGTATTCCCAGCTACTTGAGAGGTGGAGATTAGGAGGATTGTAGTTTGAGGTCAGCCTGGGCAAAATGTTTGCAAGATGCCACCCAATGGCTGGGCGTGGTGGTGCATGCCTGTCATCCCAGCCACACAGAAACATGAACAGGAGGATCATGGTCTAAGCTTCCCAGGCATAAAGCAAGACCCTATCTCAAAAATAGCCAATGCCAAAAGGGCTAGCAGAATAGCTCAAGTGGTAGAGTGCCTGCCTAGCAAGTGTGAGACCAGAATTCAACTCCTAGTATGCCAATAACAACAACAACAAAAAACCCCCAAAACACAAAAATGTCAATAACCCCCTCAGAGGGCTTTTGGCATAAATGTATAGTATAACTTAGTCAAAGCATAACTGGCTAGCATAAAGCATATCCAGCTGTTTGTTTAGATTTTCTACTCTTTTTTTCTAAAATAATTTGAAATAAAATATATTCTACTCACTGAGATGAAGTGTTACTGCTTAAAATGGGAAACTCCTCTATTAGTCTGACCACCAAATTTATTTAATCGTATTCTTTAATGGCAGATGGATTCCAAACAAACTCCTGCTGCATTACAAGAAGTTGCATCTTATAATAAATTAGCCTTAGAAAGAAGTTGTTCTCTTTTAATTTGCCCAGAACTAGTTGCAATTGTATTGAGAAAGAATTTAGTTAGTTCCTTTGCTATTAAAATATATTCATGTGAGCTGGGCATGGTGGTATCTGTCTATAATCCCAACACTCAGGAGTCTCAGCAGGAGGATCAATAGTACAAGGCGAGCCTGGGCTATATAGCAAGACTTTATCTCAAAAAGCATCTATGGGAAAAATGGGGTGTTTTTCCCTATGGCCACTTATAAAAGTGCATGCACTTAAGCATAAGTAATCTAATTTGAAGATTACTTCAAATTAGAAGTAGGGAAGATTGTAAATTGGTTTATCTTTTAGCTACTATTACTCATTTCATTGCCATGATTCTTACATGTATATTTTTATTCCTTAAAATTATTACAAATGTACACTTGTAAGAATACTATCACATACGATCAAAATAAAATTGATTTGTGTATATTATTTGTGTACTAAGTCATTTCCTTTTTATTGATTTGCCTACAGAATAGTTATTATTATATTGAGTGATGAACCTGTTGATTTTCATTACAACCTTGAGACAAATGGAAATATTGTCACTTTCATTTTGCAGATGAGAAATGGAGATTTTGAGAAACCACACAACTTGTCCAAGGTCATTCCGGTTACAATCATTAAGTTACAGAATTCGGGCTTTAACATGTACTGTCTAACTTTAACTTCAGTGCACTCTCCACTTTCTTTTCCATCTTCTATTCTTGGTACTACCTTTATTTACATATACTTTTTCTATCCTGTGCTATTCATCACAACATTTTAATAGCCATTAAGGAGAGGCACTTATATTTTAATACATCAGAGCAGCAACATTAAACCTGTCTTCTCTGACAGCCTATACATTTCCACTTTTGGGAAAAGCAGGATAATTTCCAAAGGACATTATCACTGTTAAGGCCTCATCAGGAACATTACCTTGAACTAGAAGAGTAAAGCATTTCCTTGCAGGGGACGACAGTGATTATCTCCATCCCACTCTTTCTTTTTCTCATTGCAGTGAGAAAGGGGAACACAGGGAAGTTAAGTGATATACCAATGGTTATGTACCTGGGACTACAACCTAAATTTTCTGATGATAGAACATATGCCTCTCATCAGTTGTAAAGCAGAATTTAGAGACCAGGGTAGGGACAAAGACAAAGAACTGACAATTTTATGTTTTTTCACTTTCTCAATTCTGTCTTTGTATCAGGAATTTTCCAGCCATCTGTTATCATCAATAATGCCTTCTGTGATGAGTGCAGGAACTTTACCAGAAGTTGATGATGAAATTTGTGCTCAAAGTTATTGAAGGCTGATAACGTGAATGTTGCTTATTTCATATACTTTAGGATCCATTAAGGTGGATTGAGAATTATAGAGAAAGTTGATAATATCTTTGTCTTCATGTATATTTTACTCAATATATGAATATTTTACTTAATATATGAAGATTAATATTAATTTTAATTTATTTTTCCTTTGTACTTTTTTTTTAAATTGTGTGTCAAGGATTTAGATTTTCTTCCATGGTCTGGAGGACCACATGGGAAGACATGATAGTCATTTGCAAATATTGTTGTGTCCTGGTGTATATAACTTTTTTTTAGCACCTCAAATATAGGTTTAGACCTTCCCAGTAAGTGCTTGTTGAAAAATAAAATAATGATAAACATAGAAATACATGAAAAATAATTTGGCTACCAATACTTGGCTGGATGATACTAAGATGAAGATGATGTTTGATACCATCCAAAGTTCTAAAACATGGGGCTATACTTCCATTTAACATATTTCTATAGGATAACTTTTGTTTCTCTTGGGAACCTAAGATTCAGTTAAAGATAGAATTATTTTACACACTGGGAATAGATCTAGTAGTTGGAATATTTATGCCAAGTAGACAAGGAAAGAAATACCAGAGTAAGAAACAGGAATACATCATTTAAAATTTTTATCTTAGAAGAGGAAAAGAGAAGTTGATAATCAATTAAGCCAAGTACTCCACAGGATAAACACAGTTGGTGGAGAAAGATTGCCCAGAGATAGGCAGGCAGAAGGCAAATTCATTGCAAATTCTTCCAAAAGCAGTGGTCTTGAGAGGGGTAGGAAGCATGGTGGTCAGAGCAACTGTGCCTCCTCCCATTACAGCAAGAAGACTAAGGTGGCTCATGAGAGTCTATGCTGTACACTCAGAGATGCCTCCTTCTGTGCCGAGCTGGCTGGGTCCTCTGTGAAACACTGGTGGAGCCTTCAGCTAGGGTGACTCCAATTCCCAAAACAGATCCACAGACTGAGAAAATATAGAGAGGAAAAGGCTAAATGTTGAAGATGCAGGGGGAACCAACATACAAGAAAGGAAGATCGTTTCTAAGCAGTGAAGTGAGGAGCAGTGAGATCATTTAGGTAGGTCCATGCAGCCATAACTAGAATTTTGATGAAAATAAGAAAAAAATGAATAAATATCTTTTAATACTCCATAAGTAAGTCTCCACTGGCTCAGATAAAGGTGGATTCAAAGAGCAAACACTGAGACATATTATATGTTCCGAATTAGGTAGGACATAGGTTCTATGATTTAGCAAATTCTTTTTCCTAATTCTTGCATCTCTAAGAGTAACAATTTCCCAATAAACAAAACATAGTGAACCAAACTTTAAAAACTATTAACAAATATATTTATTGTGGTGGCTTTCTCCCCTACTAGATACACCTTGTTAGAAAGTAGTATCCCTTTTAGTTCCAGGTGGACCATTAAGCAGGCAATAAAAAATATTTTCCCTTGCTGAGAAAGAAAACACATGACTTTGCAAACACGTTATATTCTCTTCACTCTAATTTTTCTTTTCTATGAAATCAGAATTTCTTCTAGTAAGTACGATTTTGTTTTTGGAAGAAAATTACAGGCACATGTTTACAGACTTAATATAATTCAAGGGGTAGCAGAGGCTGAACCACATAGTGCTGACAGATTGGAGGCCTATTCTAGGTGATCAAACCCTTCACAGTTTTGTAAAGCTATAATCTTTACAAAAGTAATCTCTAACTCTATGATTTCTTACACATTTTGCCTTCCTCCAATCCCATATAGTATATTTAACTCTGGTACACACACTCATGTTTCTTGCAGAAGTACAGGATGAGGGCTATTGATGATAAATCCTATAATTCCAAATGCCAGGCCCTAATTCTGAGCACTTTCTAGATTGGCTGGACAAAACCACAATGTCCTTGAAATGATGTTTCTCTCCCCTAATCTCACATGCTGTTTTTGGGTGGGGGGTGAGGGGAAGGGATACTATATCTTTGAATTTACAAAATTATCTTTTGCTTTTTAAAACAATAGCTTGAAAAATATTTTTATAGGGAAAAGATGCTTCTTCTCCAGATGTTACCATTATGTTGATGAGCTTATATCTCATTGATAATTATGCATAAAATGTCTTTACTTTTAAAAATGCGCAGAAGCACATAAGATAACATTTGAAAGTATCCCTTCTTTGAACTTTTGGCTCTTTGTTGTTTCTATGCTTGTATGAAGAATATAGCAACTATTTGGAATGATGTTTAGACAGAGCAGTAGCTGATATGTTGTCCATTTGTGGTCCTAATGGCTAGAACACCTGTCTTGGGCATCTGGTTGAGATAGCAGCATCATGAGTTTACAATAATCTCATGGGACCCTCTAGTGTACAGTGCTGACTGATACCGATTTCTGTTGTTTATCTTGGACTTTTCGCTTCTTCTGCTGCTGTTTGTCTTTGTTTTCTCGTTGTTCTGGAGTTTCTCTGCTGGATTCCAGGCCTCTATTGTCAGGTATTGCTTCCTTACTTTCTTCTTTATTAAGTTTTTTTCTTTTCCTCTCCCTTCCTTTTTTTCCTGAAATGAAAGGACACTCCTTTAAAAATTACATTCAATGATATTTTACTTTTTAGCTACATTTTTAAAAATGAGTTAGAGTTCTCTTAGATTGCATACTATACTCATCAATATCAAATATGTATTCTTTATATAATTCACTCAGCTACTTTTTATAAGTCCATGTGACAGTCCAAAGAATGTAAGCATGAAACACATATATAATGAAGCAACTAATATATGATGGTTTTGATGGTACAGAGAGTTCTATTCCTACATGTTTGGGATTTATTTTACATGATAGTCATGTATGTACACTTAATACAAAAGTTTGAATAGATTTCTTTGCCATCTAAAATATTTGTTAATATGTGTATTTTATCTGGTTCCTATTTAAGCCATCATTTTGTATTCAGATTTTTCCAAGTAGCAGTAACATATTGTCAATCTTTTGAGATATGCATGACATCTAAGAGAAAAGAAATGATTTGTGTAACAAATATGGAAATAATAGTTCATGATGAATGCAAGGATAACTATACTTTAATACAAATATTCTTTGTTGAAATTAATTTGTATTGCAGTTTCTGTATATGTGGGGTGACTACAACTTACGAATAACCCTTTACAAGAAGGTAGGGATTCTATTTTTATTTTCTTTTTTTAATGGTACTAGGATTTGAACTCAGGACCTGTACTTGCTAAGCAAGTGCTCTACCACTTGAACCATAGCTCCAGACCTTGTTGCTTTTTTTAGGTTATTTTTCAAGTAAGGTCTTGTGCTTTTTTAGCCCTGGTTGGCCTCAGACTGAGATCCTCCTCCCTATGTCTCTTGTACAGCTGGGATCATAAGCATGTACCACCATTCCTGGCTTGTTTGTTGAGACGGGGTCTAGGTAACTTTTGCCTGGGCTGGTCTTAAGCTGAGATCATCCTTATCTTCACCTTCCAAATAGATAGGATTACTTACAGGGCACTGTGCCTGGCTGTTTTTATCAATCAAGCAAGTAGGTTTTATTGGATGTATACTGGATTACATGCAGGCTCCTAGCCTTGAATTGGGTTTGTAGCACAATTCAGTTCAGACTCATACTCTGGTTTGAAATCAGGTTTCGATGTTGTTAAAAGCATATTGTTAAAAAAAAAAAAAAAAGCCAATATGGAGCCAGAGTGAAGAACTGAGTTTAATTATGTTGGCATTTGACAATTTAAGAGAAAGTGATTTGAACAAAGTACATGAATCTGACACTAAATTAGATGCATTGTTTTTATTTCTTTCCAAATAGTGAATTAAACAGATGTTTTATAAACATTTTACATGTAAAATTGATAATTTATGAGGGCATGGCTTTAGTAACATTCATTAACACATATATCCCATGAGAAATTACTTATACTCAAATCAATATCACCATAAATGAAACTAGGAACCAACTATTCCTCAATGTGGGGCAAATTCTGAATGCATATGCCATACTCTGAGCCATGCAAAATTTGAAATTAGTCTGTCTACAATAAGTCACTTTGGAAAAAAGCATTTTGGAAAAACTTATTTGCATGAGAGAACCAAAATATTTTCATGTCCTGAAACAGGCTGCAAATATTGAATTCAGTGGTTTGGCTCTTCCTCTCTTAAGCGCTGGTTACAGAATCCTAGGGAGTGGTATTATTAATACTGCATACATATAACAGAACAATACAGTTTCCTTGGATTAATGAATTTATTCTACAGCTAGGTTTTGTCATGAGATTATATTTAGAAAACCTTTCAGTTGCTTTATAAACGTTGCCTGATTGAGCTCAACAAAACACATTTCCAAATTTTGAACTCTGGAAAAACAGTTAATAAAAATTAGAATTCAGACCAGGGTCAACCAAATATCAAGTGATTTTGGATATACAGAGATAAACAAAAATATCAGAGTCAACTATTCTTTCTACTGAACTACTTATCCACCAATTTGTCAATTCCATTATTTTTTTTAATTTAAAGAACACTGCTGTATTGGTAACATTTCTATAGACAGAATGTAGGGCCTTGTTTCATGATGGATTTAATAAATATACATTTGAAGAGCTAACTTGAGTGTGGTAACTAAACAAGGAAAACTGAAGAGCAAATTTGCCTTCCTGGATATATAGAAGAATTTAAACTTTAGAGCCACACAAACTGAAAGAGAGAAATGCTAGTTTTCATGAGATGTGTTTGGTTTTCAGAAGGACATGGCTGCAAATGTTAGATTACATAACATTTCCATTTTGAGGGGCATTTTGGAGGTGTTCAACTCTAAAAATTATGTCAACGAAAATCCTTCCAAAGTTCCATAAAAATTACTGACCCCAAACACAATGTTATTTTTGTGGAAATCATCCAGAAGTTCAGTGTTTGACATTGTTCTCTTGATGAAGGTCCAACATCTTACAGCTGTGATCCCAACCATAATGTTTTAGAAACATAAGAAATGTATTGTTTCTTCCTTGGTCAAGGATTAATTTATATGTTTTTTAGCTACTTGTGACAACATACCTAACTTGCAGAACATTTCTGCTTATTAGCAAATTGATATAATTATTTATTAAGACAGGAAGAAATACTTTGGAAAGTATCTTAAAATTCAGTATGATAGCTTTATCATCCAAGGAATAACTATTTAGGCTGGGCAGTGAGTGAAGGAGAGTCTCTGGTAAAGTAAGAGGAAACTAGCACATTGTACATCATTGCTGCCCAATAGAGAGTAATTGCACAATGGAAAAATGAGTTTATTATTTTTTTACAGGCCATGTGTTAGTGGATGGAAATGCTATCTACCCTTCTGAATAAATAATATATTTTCTTCTTGGACAAAAAATAAAAGAGCAATGCAGAAGAGTGGCTGCAATCCATTAAGATCACGTGCAATTTGGGGTAATTTTGTACGGTTTTCATTAAAGTGAACTTCTCTTTCTATTTTGGTAACTTTGTGACTTTTCACTGATGTGGTTAATAGTTATTCTGCATCTTTTTTTGCAATTCTGCAAACTGTCAAAGAGAAATTGCTATTACCAATTGAGTACAATCTGAGCATGCTATGATTTGAATGTCCTCTCCAAAACTCATGGTAAAACTTATTTGCCATTGTAATAATATTAAAAGGAGGGACCTTTGAAAAGGTAATTAGGTCATGAGACCCTTCCTTCATGAAGATATTAATGGTGCCAATCTCAGAGTAGGTTATTGAAGATTCCCAATAAAGATGAGTTTGAACTACTTTGCTCTCTGTTTCACACATCCTTGCTTGCCCTTCAGTCATGTTATGATGCAGCCATAAGACCCTCACCAAATAACAGTGCCAGGCTCTTGACTTCCCTAGATTACAGAACAATGAGCCAAATAAATCTACAGTTTATAATTTACTCAGTCTGTGGTGTTCTGTTATAGAAGGATAAAATGGGCTAAGTCTTTTCAGGGAAGCACTATGGTATATGATTTAAGAATACTGATTTTAGTGCTGTGTTCATTCTCTAAGTCTGCCATTAAGTGTTGCATGACTTTTGACAAGTTTCTGATATTTCCTAGTGCTAATTATGTGGTATTTCAAAAAAGAATAATCGTTACTCTTTGCTGAATTTTGTAAGGATTCAGTACGATGTTTGCAGAATATTGAGTATAGTGTTAGGACTTTTACCACTGACTTATGTTAATCATGTGACGAATGAAAGCTAATATTAACTCATTACATAATCATAAAGTAACCCCCTACTCAAATGTCAAACGTGTGCTAAAACCTAGGGTTATTAATGATATTTGGAGACTGACACAATAATTATAGTCACATGTTAAGGCTGAAATGGAGGCATGCACAAAATCCTATTGGGAACACAGTGGGGAAAGCACTGAATTCTGCCAACAGACATTGAAAAAGACTCTACAGGTAAGATGATGTCTCAGTTGAGCTCAAAAGAGTAGTAGTTTGTCAGGCCTATGAGGGAAGAAGGGCATTCAGGAAGTGAGCAATATGTGAGTGACGTGAAAGCATGCAAAAGCATGCTCATTTGGGCACTGAATGTAGACTTCCTCACTTTGATCAGAGTCTGTATTTAGGACATTACTTGGAGAAGCTGGAAAGAGACATAGGACTTAATTGCCATGTTGGGAATTTGTTCTGAAGACCAGCGTTACTGAAAACTGGAGAAGGGTAAGTATTAGAACCTGAGAACAGAGCAGAATTTTGATGTTTCTGGGATTAGTCTTTCTTTTTTAGAAAATTTCTATGACTAAGAAGTCTCCATAAAGGAGTCTAGCAGGAGAACAAGAAAGTGGAAGTAAAAGCCAGACTACTAGGGATGTGGAAGAAGGGAAAGAGGGTGATAAGAAACAGCAGTAGAGGGGCTGACTCTGATCAAAGTACATTATACACATTAGAAATGTCATAGTGAAACTCCTTGCTTTGTGTAATTAATTTATGCTAATTTTAAAAAATAAAATACGAAAACAACAAAGAATTCATAGAGAGAGTCAGTAGCTGATATTTATATAGGGGCCTTAATTTTCAAAAGAGTAGCTAAAACTATGCAAGCAGTGAACCCACATATTACTTACAGCTCTATTGCAAATTAATATCACATAAGTGAGTAGATAATTGGCATTTTTGAAATCATGAAATTAGTTTCCCTTAATACAAATACATATAATCTTTACACAAGCACATTCTGGGGCCTCCGATAGACTAAGTTCCTGTAGACTAGATGATTTTTTTAATAATGCACAGTCCTATGTCTCACTTCTGGAGATTTGGGAGTTTTTATGAGGAGCTGAGGAACTTATAGTTTCTTTGATGTACAGCCACATTTAAGAACTATCTGGGGGTTTTGGGTGTGGTTCAAGTGGTACAGTGCCTGCTTAGAAAGGGCAAGACCTTGAGGTCAAATCCCAGTATTGCCTAAAAAACAAAAGCAAACAAACAACCACAAAACAAAAACTGTATCTGAAGAGCACCAGAGTACCCAATTTCCTTAATTATAGTCTATCAAACTTTATTTCA